TTAAATCCTTACGACAAGACCATGAGAGTAATTAAAGAGCATTGAGGGTAGAGTCTTACTTGGATTTATGTGTGCGAGTTTTAAGTGCGCACCCAGTACTTTAAGTACGTGATACCCCAGGACCAAAACTTTATGCAGGTATCTTTAGCTCTCGTCTCATGTCTCATATCTCATGAATTTTTAATACCCCTAGACAAGTAAAGGTACTTTTTAAAATCAAGAAAGACACGATACTTTTGACCATGAGAATTTATAATAAGACGATGTAAAGTGCATCGTTCTCAGTTTTGTGAAAAGCTGAATGCTGTTGTATTGGTGTTAATATTCCTTTACATGCGTACCTTTAAATCTTTAGTCTGAAGTATTGGTATTTGGCTTCGTACAAAGATTTACATTCAACGTATACTCTGGTAGTGATGGGAAAAAATACCGATGAAATTTTGGCACATCTGGAAGTAATTACGGAGACCAAACCTGCTGAAGAGAGTGGTGTAGGTATAGAAAATTTTAAAATCTACGATACAACGTCAAGATTGAGTGAGATGACTCTGGACAAGACTCAGGTGCTTTTGCTATTCCTGCTTCTTATTTTTCTCATTCTTGTTCTCTTCTTTGAGGACCGAGTTATATTTCTTCAAGAACGTGACCATTTGTCAAGGGACTGGGATTAACTGTATTTTTACTTCCCGTAATGTCAGTGCGTACTATTAGACACACATATACATATCAAGAATGACAACAGACGGTGACGGTGAGAAAAGCTAACGAAAAGTTGTCTCTTGGGACCAGTGATCCTATCCGTTTTTTTTTTTTGTTCAAAAAGTTACCACTGTTTTTTTAGCCGAAAAAATTTAATTCTACCAAGTTGTTTATGAATTCTTTTTTATAGTTAACATTTGTGGGTTTGTGTAAGGGATTTAAATGCAAATTCAGATCAGATACATTATACTGATATAAATGGGTTTTGATTAAATGAAATTTTGAAGTTGATGGACTGATGTATGTCTGAATTTGTTTTAAACTCAAGCTCTGGAGAAATTAAACCAGTTGATTTGATTATTGAAGCTGCTTTAAATGTCAGTAATGGAAAATGGAAACGCGGTTTGAGAGAAAAAGAGAAATAGACATATCAAATAGGAAATTTTATTAAATATTAGATTGTTTTCAAAATTTAGTAAAAAATTTTTCATCAAAGTAATTTGAGTTAAATATATTGACTCTAATTTTTTTGTATTTTTATTTATAAAAATTTTGTATTTTATTTTCAATTTTCTGTCCAAATTTATTCAACTAAAAACCAAATCTAAATAAATGAATAAGAACGTGTGCCTCGTGTCGCATTTCCAAGACTTAATTTCACTGAGTCCAGTCCAGTGTATAAGTATCCCAAAAATCTAAAGCGTGGATAATGTCCATTATAAAAATATTTAGGTAGAAAATAAAAAGGTGAGAAAGCATGAGATGGACTTGGACCACGCACAAAATATATGTACTATGTATATGTATAATAATGTATTTAAGCTACCGAAATTCTTGGCGATTTGGCATTCTCCATACCAGACACTTGGACACAGACATAACAGAATAGTATGATTCTGAAAGATCTACTGTATTCCTGTGAATCACACTCAGGATGTATAGATCGGTCGGCATTGATCCAATCGTAAGCGGCTTTCCGTATTCAATACTATAGACTAGTCACACTATAACTACTCTCTCTTGTGATGTATCTCAACTCAATATATTATATTTTGAATCTCACATTCTACATTCTACTCGTTCATACTTATACTTATTGTCCAAGTATTTGCGGGCAAAACCTTCACACCTTGGAATAATGCCCGATATGTGTTCGGCCATTACCCCTAAAACTAGTCAAATACTCTTTATTTTTTTTTTCTCATATATACTGCTGTATAGTTAGTAGTTTATTTTCTGGTGGTGATGGCTGATGTATATACTAAATCATACTAAATGTCTGCCGGCAACAAGGGATGATTTGCTGAGTGTTGACGCTCTGGGAAGGGTGCTCACAATGATACAACACGTAACTGTACCAATGGATTGAGCTTAATATTATTGTTAGGTCGTCCTCCATTATATTATATATATATATATATATATATATAAACATAATACAGAATACATGGTACGTATTTATTAGAAAGGCGTATAGTATGGGAGATAACTTTATCGTAAATGCGTTAGCGTTAATTCATCGTTAAATTCTATTCGCTTAGTATATTAAAAATTAATAAATGTACTGAAAAAAAATTTAACTTGATTCAAGAAAAAAATCTTGGAACAAAAAATTATTTAACAGAATTTTTTATCAAGTAAAATTTATTCAAGTTAAGAAAGCTTTTTTAGATTAAAAATTTTTTTTAATTCAAGAAAAAAAAATTATTTTTCATTTTAAGATTTTTTCTCTTGAATAAAGTTACAATTTTAATCAATGAAGAAAAATAAAGAAAAAAAAAAAGGGTAGTATTTTCTTAAAATTGAAATTTAAAAAAATATATGACAAAAAAAGGTTTAATCTTGTCTGATGGAATTCATGTGTATATTTTTCCGACTATCATGTAAATAAATTGAAAACATATTTACATATACATGTAAAAGTACGATGTGATAGATTTACATGGAAGTGAGCATAGCATGTATAACGTTAACGGTGGAGTGTACGGATAGTATACAAGAGTGGAGTATAAAGTGTAGCATGTAGGTACTAGTACTAGTACGTTGCGCACTGAGTAAGTTCATCGGGGACGCGCTGATGCGTTGGTAATCCCTCAGTGCTTAACGATAACATCGTGGGTTTTATTTTCATTATTCAGTTGTTCGATGTTCCCCATGGACGCGCGTATAGCCCAGCTTACACGCGTAACCCCATGTTTCCATGACGGTTTAATCAGATAAAATCCCCTTGGCCAAAAAATACTCGGCAACGTCACCACCGCCATTAAAAAACAAAATATCCATATTACTGTGGTTTTTGACAATTCACATCCACAATCTCCGATACAATGCTCTTTAATTTCATTTTATTCATTTTGTTTTTATAACAACATTTGTTTATAGGATCGCACTACGCTCGCACTTGATTGGAAAAAATATCAATTCGTTTTATGGATTTATTGTAATCACGGATATTCCACTATTTTATGAGTTATTAATAATACTTTCGCTTATTTGTATAATATGTGTTTTCATAATCTGTATTTGATAATTGAAGACTTAAATATTATTTATCAGTTTTATACTGTACAATAAAAATTATTGTGCTCTAAATGTTCGCGGATTGTTGATTGAATATTTTAGTAATATTTATATTGATTTACAGAAGTATTGTAGTCAAGAAAAACATGGAAAAATTTTTTATTCAAAAGTAATTGCAGTTTCAAAATTTAAAGAATGATATTTTATTAAATTTCTATTAGATTTTTGAGCTCGAAGAGCTCAAAAACATAGAACAGCTAACTCTTTAAGCTCGGTAAGTTCAAAATAATACATAAATTATATTTTTGAACTCGGAGTTAATTGTTTTTTATGTAAAAAAAATTTGCAGTCAATTAAATTATTTTCAAGCTTTTGATTAAATTGAAAACATCTTTCCCGCGGTATAATATATGAATATATATAATACAAAGAAATAAATATGGTTAGATATATCGGGTCATCAAATATGACATTGGTATGCAATATTATCCCGATACAGACTTTATATATTGTAAATCGAGAGCCGATACGGGCTCTGTATACGTATAACACATAAGCAGCGAATTTGACATATATGTGTTTGTATTATATTATATATATGATGTAGCCTACTGTTACTGCTATGCACTGCACTTCTGTAGTATATAATACATACTATATGGATAATATAAATATGATGGGTTTGAGCACACGTATAACGTGTAACTCGATATGCTTCCCGTAGGAAGATCATACTTTAGCACAAAGGCTCATCGCTACATCGCACGCGATCACCGTTCATGTCAAGGCTTCTGACGATCTTAATACGCATATATCCATACATATATTAACGCATTTTATCTGACCACTCTCAAACCACAGAATAAAAAAATTATTCATTATTTGCATTGCATGGAAAAGTTTTTTTAATATGAGCATTAAAAATATATTTTTGAAATTTTTTTTAACTTATTAAACGACGATAAAGAAAAATTAAAAAATCAATAATTTGAAAATGTGATACGATAAATTTTTTATAGTTTTGAATTTAATTTAATTATTTAATGTTATTTTTAAAAGATTTCTAGTTTTGATATTTAAAAATTTTAACTCATAAAAAATTCAACCACCACAAAGGAAATTAATTTTTATTGTAATTTAATTCCATAAAATTATAAACATAGGTAGAGTTTTTCAAAAAATAGATCATTAATTTGCTTGATCGATCGTAACGTTAGTCTAATAAAATGAAATAAAAAAAAAATTGAGAAATACTTTTTAATAAAATGAAGAATCCTTGAAGTTATTTAAAAGCAGTCAACCCTTACTTTTGTGGTAAAATTTTTTCATACATATAAATATAAATTCGACTTGACTCTTTTCTCTCTCTCTCTCTCTCTCTCTCTCTCTCTCTTATCTCTTTTCTTCTCCCGTACCAACAATTTCAATTTAAATTTAGATACAACGGAGAGGAAAAAAGTAACAGTGAAGACAGAGAGTCTCGTTTGTTATTCTAGTGTAAGGATAGGGTGAAATGGGGCTGTGATTATGGTTCGCTGTGGTAATAGTTTACTAAATGAACCGTAAATCAGAATGTTTTTCTGGCTTTTGTGCATCAACGTCAATGTTGAGCATCTATTCAGATCCATACGCGCTGAATAATACGTTATAAATTATTGTTTGCGCCCTTTAAGACACTCAACCTTTCGTGGATAAATAAGCAACGCAGGTAGAAAAAAAAAAAACAAAATCTATAATTTAATAACATATTTTACAATTTTTTTCTTGTTCGAATTTAATCTTCAATCTTCGGTGTGGTCATCGGTGACTAGAATTCTTATCAAATCGTTTGAGGACTCCTTTACATTTTTATATGAAACTGTGTCACCCCCGCGTTTCGGGAGAATCCATTGCCGGAGAGGACTTCGCCATAAGAGGTACATTCCGGCAAGGGTGAGTGCGAGTATTATGATCGATATTGATGCCCATATTGCTAGATAAGCTGAGCTTAATATTTCAACGCATATTAACTCGCGGTTTGGTATTGCTGATAATAATTTACTCGCGTGCTCTTCTGGTGTTTTACATCTGTAATTAATTAGATTGTGATAATTAATTATTTATTAAAGTATCTGTAAATTTCCATTGATTCGTGGTTGATTCAATAATTAGAAATTTATTTAACATTTAACTGTTGATTAATATTCGTTCTAATTATCATTGAGAGTAATAAAAACTCTATTCAAAACTTCAAAGAGCTTGAAGCGACATCACTCGGATTTTATTAGAAATAAAAAACTTACCGACAAAAATTTATAATAAGTCAATTTACAATTAAGCAATCTTTAATACCGACTGTAGAGACTGTAGAGAATTTTTATTACACCCTAAGACCAAAATCCCAAATAGAGCTTTTATTACTATTTTTGAACTATTATATAATAATTATGTAATTTATTAAAATTGATAATTTTATATTATTGTTAAATTGTTGTATATTGCTGATTGCCGTTTAAACTTTAAATAAATAATATCTATTTTTATAGCAAAATTTCACTGTAAAAATTAATTTACAGCTATAAAATGTTAATTGATTAATTAAAACTAAATTACCTGATTTCACGACTAAGATCGTTGGAAAGATTTAATCGATTGATCCATTGCATCCTACAATCGCAGTGCCATGGATTATTTTGAAGATCAACTACAGCCGTTCTCTGCAAAATCGGTCTCAGATTTTCATCCAATGTCTCCAGAGCACTTCCTTTTAAAGACAAGTACCTCAGATGTGGTAAAAGTCTGCTATTAGGAGGCCAGATTCGGAATCCCGTAAGCATTTTGCAGTTCTCAAATGACAATACTTCCAACATGGTAATATTTTCGAAGTCGTTTAATACAACTTTTGTTACATTCGGCATGTGGTTCAAATGGAACCGCGACAAATGAGGCAACGAAATTTCGCTGATGAATAGAATATTTGTACCCGAGATATCAAGTTCTGTCAACAATGCTGGTAAAAAAGGCAAAGTATCGATTGGATTGAACGAAATGTTCAAAAATGATAGCTTCGTCAGCGGTCTTAGTAATGAATTTGGGATAAATGAAGCTGAGACGTTACTCATGTCTAGATGCACTAAATGTTGCTGATTTATAAATGCGTTCTCGTGGATATTATCAACAGGATTATGCGCTATTGATAAATATTCCAGGATCTAGAAAAAAATAATTGACTTGATATTCAAATTAAAAATTTTAAATAATAAATACCTTCATATGTTCGATCATAGTTTCATTGATGACACTCAATTTGTTCCACGAAAGATCGAGCAATTTTAATTTAGACGTTCGATTATTAAACGCGAAATCGTCGATGTATTCCAGATGATTGTGACTCACGTTTAAATACTCCAAATTATACTCTTCTTTGCAGAGAAAGAAAAATCTTTGCAAATGATTTTCTGCTAGATCTAACGATTTTAAGTGATCTAGATTCGTCGAACAATCGAGGAAACTGTCAAATTGATTTCCTTTTAATATTAAATCCGTCACTTCATGAAGATTTAGTTGTTGCTGGATATTAACGAAAAAAGTTTCTTTTTTTAATCCTCTGTGCGATAAATCCACCTGCAATTATGAATTATTTTAAATTTAGACAAATTAACAATTTTAATTCATTTAAATTAATTATATTTTTAATTTCAGTATTTAATTCGATCAACTTGATTTATAAATTAAAATGAACACTCACCACAGTCGACTGTACACCAAAAATACACATAACAAAAACCAAAAAATTAAACCACATTTTTTATTTAAATTTAAAGTAAAATTTTAAAAATTAAAATAATTTTATCCCGATCAACTCGGGATCTAAGTCCAATGAGTTTGACGAGGAATGACGACTTAAAACTAAAACCCGAGATTCAAGACCCGCGCGAGACTTGGCGAGTAGGTCATAAGTTCATTATTGTGGGGCTAATGTACCATTTTTTAAAGATAACACGTGATAATAATTATAAATACCCATTATTTATATTTATATTATTCCTATAAATAAATTCATCTCTAAAACTTTATTTTTTAAATAAAAATTTATTCTATTATTCTCTAGTGTTATCTCATTATATTCTCGCTTTGTTTCCCGACAATTAATCTTATCAAATGATGGTGACCTAAAATAAATATTTTTATGGCGTTTTATAGATTTATTCATTATATACATGTATAAAATATATGAGCATTACATTACATTAATTACAATTTACAATTTATTAATGAGTAATAGTATTGAAGTAAAAAAAAAAATAATAAATATAATTTGTGATGAATTGAAAATTGAATTATAAATGAAGTGACAATCACTCATTATAATTATTTATTGCACTCAGCAATCTTATCTTCTTGCACTGAATTTAATTAAACTCTTCATTGATTTAATTAATATTTATAATAAAAAATGAGCAAATAATCACAGATTTTTCCTGTATATTTTCAATAATTTCGTGATAATACTTCTTGAAATTTTTTTACTGAAAAAAAAAATCCACCCAGATTTTTTAAAAAAACAGTAAAAATAAATTTATTTTTTCGGAGTAACTGGCGCGTTGGATACTTTGAATACCAACGGATTAGATACACGGAAAATACTGGGTAACATCGTTGCCAAAGTCCCAAAAACTTCTTCGGACATGCCTTTGGGTACAAGGAACTGTAAATTTTTTAGTTCAGCTCCTCCCCACGATGCCATTTCGATCATAAAGCCTTTTACACACTTGTAAACAAGTTCCGCGCGCTTTGTACACCAGGCTACTGTCATATCCTAAGTTAAAAAACAATTTTTCCTTATTAATAACACTAAAAAATTATAAACATTAATAAATAAATTTTCGCACAAGAAAATTCTGATCTTAAATTACTAAAAAAAAATATCTACAATTTTTAAATTCTCAAATTTAATTTCATGTTTATAACTTTTAATCATAAATATATTTTGATTATTCAAGGTCAAGTTTTAAGACCTTCTCTCCTTGTGCGAGTGATAAATAAAAATAAAGATATTAATAATAAAAAATACTTCTGTCATTTCGTGTACTAATAAGACGGGAATAGTAAGCGTTGTAACGTCATTACAACAAGCTGTTTTTAAAATATTTCTCAATCCCAATATTGCTGGATGTCTTGAATTTATATCTCCTAAAAAAAAAATTTTTAATATATTTTTCCTTAAAAAAAAAAAAAAGAAAATTGAAAAAATACCTGATCTAAGTGAATCATTAATAACCATATGAAATACAACATGAACCTGAGCTAAATTGGAATGTCTTGTAATAAAAACATCACCAGTCTGCAGCGACTTACTCAAAGTTGACTTTTTGACCTGTATAATTGATAATAGAATAACAAAATATTAAATCATTAATTAAATTAACAACTAAATAAAATTACTGGTAAATCGTTGGTATCTTTATGATGAGCTTGTCTCCAAGCGACAGCTTCTTTGACATCATCGCGTATTTTTTCCAACTGCTCTTCCATTGATGGAAAATGGAACTCCGTAGTAAGCTGGCATATAGTTGATAATTCTACGAATAAAAGTTCATTGAGATCAGTCTTGTGATGATTGAATGGATTATTGCGTAAATTATTTTTATACTTATCGATAAAAATTAGATTAATTTCATACTAATTGATAGCAATAAGTTTATGATTAAAATTATTCGTATTGAAACCTTTAGTTATGCCAGAGTAACTTCCTAGATGATTGTCGCTTAGAACGACAATTCCACACAAATCATTTGAGTACAGTCCTAATGCTGTTTGCAATCTTTGGGGAGTTGGTTCCATACTTAAAAAATAAATTAATATCAATTATTATTGTGCATCAGAAATGAAATTTTAGATTTTTTAATCCCAATTTAATGTTTTTATCATGAAGTTTGAGATAGCGGTACTTAAAAATTTCAAAAGTTTCTATATAAAAATTCGTAAACATGGAACTTTGATAAACAAGTGATAAGATTAAGAAATTAATATAATTTATACTTATGATACACATAATATGTATAGACTAATAAACGCAATTACATATTATATTATGATACAAATTTATTTTTGTGTCTAATCATTCATTAGACCACTTAATAGTATTAAACAAATATTTCTTAGTATTCAAAATGACTTTTTTGCATTTAATAAATCTGATACTCATTTATTAAATATTAATAAATCTTTTTAAATACTAAGAAATATTTGTTAAGGACTAAAAAGTGGTCTCTAATAACTATTAACAAATATTTTTAACTATAATCAAATCCTTCTATCAGTGAAACTCGTGAATTATTTTATAAATTTAGGATTTCAATAAATGAAAAATACCTTGCAGAATTACTCTTAGTGCGACAGAAATCTAAAACATCGCCGGTTAAAATTCTGATGTTATGCATCTGCTTCATTTGTGACCCCAAGTGGATTGTAAAACTCTCTTCCAGTTGAGGATAATCTGAGGTTTTTATTTTTTCCTTAGCTTCTACAGTTTCCAATGTTTCTGGTACAAAAGGCATTGGAACTACTGGCGATCCTCTAATTAAAGAAAAAATTTAATAAATTATAGTTTTTTAAGTAAATTTTAAATTTAAAAATACAAATTTAAATAAAATTACACTGGAGTCGGAAGCATATTTGTCTGCTGCTCTTCAAGTAATCTCATGATCCAATTGCGATATTGTCTCCTCTGTTCCAACTTCAATGCGTCTATTCTAGATCCCCAGTGACCTTGCAATAAACTTTGCTCTTCAAAATGTCTCGCAGCCATTTCATTAATAGATTTTTCAGTCGATCCCAGCTCTAATTTTTCAACAGCTACTCGCATTTCTTCTGTTTGTCTGAAAATAAAATAAAATCCGATAATTAATAATTATTATTGACAACTAAATTTTACAAAAAACTTACTTCTGAGTCAACTGATCATACTCGGAGTTTTTAATGTGAATAACATCAGTAACATCTTTACCATACTTGTGTTCAGCTTGTAAAATCGGTTCCAGGGAAGGCGAGTGTACAAGCTTATGGTAAGCTGCCGCGAACAATTCCTCGTCAGTAGTCCCCATGGGCTGAGCATACTCTGCTGTCTTTTCTCTGTAAGCCTTTTCCCAATTTTTGATTATCTTTTCTAAATCTATCTCTCCACTCCTGGCGGATTTTATCAACTTCTCGTCTCGCTCGTCATAGTAATTTTGAGTCCAGTTTTTTACTGTCTGCTCCAGAGAATTTAACAAATCTTTCTCGACATAACAAGGCAATTTGAATGCGCTCATTATTCGGTATGTCAACTCTTTGATTGATCCATTGTATGGAATCTTTAATGGTATTTCCAATGTGTAATTTTGATTGGTCGTACAAGTGGGAAATTGGAATAAAAATATTTTTTCTTGATAGTCTTCAGACATTTTTGTTATTTACAAATTAATTAAATTATAATCTCGAACCCCAGCACTTTCAGTCCTAGAAAAATAAATAGAAATTATCAAATTATTTGAATAAATTACTCCAGATTAAAAAAGAATAATTACCTACATTTAATAATCAAAAATGATAAGTAAGATTAAATTGTTAATTAGAAAATAATTAAATAATTTACTTACTAAAATAATTTGTCATGTAGGTAACATAACCTACAAGACGAAAATAAATAAAAATAAAAAAACTATAATTAATTTTTGAGTATTAAAAACTTTTTTCACTAAAAAAATAATTGTAACACTTTAAATAATTGCCTTAAATAAAAAACCATTTTGTGTAATGGAATTAATGCAAAATTATTTGACAGTTGAAATGTTTACTATTTTTTTTACGCCCATTCCAAGTACCAACATTACAATTTCCTCTAGATTTCAGTAATTTTATAAAAAATCATTTTTTATACAATGAAAATTAATTGTTTTCATAAAATATTAATAGTATTCACACAAGGATTGTATCAAGTTATGTTGTGTATGTTTTCAACATTTTATAATCGCATCCGATGTTGCCGACAGAATAAGCGGGAAAGCTGGGATATATAATATGCATGCATCAATCAGAATTGTAAAAAAATGCAATTGAAAGCATTAACAAACCTCGGTAGAGAAATATTGTGCAGAAGGGTTGATCCATCAGCTAAAATACATCACTTAACTGCTATTTCCCTACCGGTCGATGCCAGATGACTATGGTGGTCATGATGATGATGATGATGATGATGATGATAATGATGATGATCAAGCTGCTTTGCTCTTGCAGAAATCGAAGTCTGCTCCAAGTTGATAGATTACATTCTGCTTGTCAATCACTGATGCTAAACACTTTTTATCACCGTTCTGCAAAAGTAATAGAACGTGACTGTATATATAAATAACTAAACTATTATTTTTTACATTACACAAAATTGGACCAAGTACTTTCTCAAAAATAATTATTTCATCTAACTGACATTGAATTTAGCTGTCACTTGACAATTTTTTTATTTTTTATTAACAAACAAATTTGTTCCAAAGATGTTTGCAAAAAAATTGAATTTTTAATTTTTTTTAATGTCTACATGTCAATTTAAAAAAAAAATTTTTTTGTAATAATTTATTTATTACAAAAATTTTTAAAACTGTCAAATATCTGCTAAATTAATTTTCATTTTATATAATACTATCTAGTTTGTCAAAAAAAGTAAGCAGATTTTTAATGTACGCCATTTGTATCATAAAAATGAATTTTAACAATAAGAGATTTATTATCTCAAAATTTATGAAAATGAAGTTAGCTGACAATTCAAAATTTTTATTAATTTTTTATCAAAAAAATTTCAATGAAATAATTGAAAAAAAAAATATCATATATTAAAAACTTAAAAAACTATATGTGCAATTTATTATAAACATCTTTTTAGTTGTAATTTAATTAAAAAAAAAAAATCAAAAATTTTTAGACGTCTGCTAACTTCGGTGTCATCAAAATTTTTATAAAAACAAATATATTATTTTTAAAAATTTCACCAGTAATTTTTTACAATTTCTATATGAAAAATTTGCATGAGAATTAATTTAGCAGATATTTAATAATTTTTAGAGTTTTTTTTAATAAATAAATTATGACAAAAAGAATAAGGAAAAAAAAATTGACATGTAGAAATATTAAAAAATTATAAATGAAATTTTTTAAAAATCATTTTTCAGAAAAAATTTGTTTATTAAATAAAATTAAAAAATTATCAAGTGACTGCTAACTTTAATGTCATAAAATTTTCTTTTAATTTTGTTTTTCATAATTTATTTATTAAAGAAAATGCCAAAAGTTTCTTAATTTCTCAAGTTCAGTACTATACAATTTTTACCTTTGTCAGCTACTTCTAGTGTCACGAATTATATTATATTTATATCCTGAACATGACAAAAGAACATTTTCTGACTCTTTGCTAATAAAAAGTACAAGTATAATAATAAAGTTAGCCGACATTTTCGGTTATTTGATTTTGCTTCATCTATTAAATTAAAACTAAAAAAAGTTTTTTAAATTGCACTTATAATTTTTCAAATTTTTTACAAATGAAATTAAAAAAAAATTTTTTTAATAAAAAAAATTCTAAAAATTTTAAGATGTCGGCTAACTTTCCTTTCATAATACAAGTACATTGTCATTTTTTACAAAAAATTATTTAAGAATCAACAAAAGTCAAGTGATTAATCAAATTAATTAATTTTTATACTTTAAGACAATAAATAAAAAAATTCATTCGAAGTAAATGATAACTTGATTGACTACAAACGCCATGACAGTTTGAAACATTACAAATTAACTATTAATCAAAGTCATACTAAATAATTATTTAAAGTATTTAAGTGAAGTGAATATTATTAAAATAACCGCATTTCATTTAAATATATATTTAAATATATATATACACAACTCGCAGAGAGAGACGTTTACGACAAAACTGCATGGCTGACACTCATCGAAAGCTGAGCCGATGACAGACAAAGCTCTTCTACCAACGACCAGTAACAAGTCCTGAAAATGGTGGCAAGATAGCGCGCGCATGCGCACGCGCGGGCGAATGCAATTGGCTATTTTAAATTTCCTGGTTAAAAACTCGTTGGCAGCACTGCTGAACTCGCATGATACTTCAGTCAGTAGTTGAAACTAGCGTCGGTTTGTGTTTATCTGGCTTTCATTCTTGATTTGATAAATAATACTTGATTTAATTGATAATTAAACAATGGGTGATAATAAAAACGGCACTGAAATGCTTACTGACGCGGAAGCTGAATTATATGACAGGCAAATCCGTTTATGGGGTTTGGAATCACAGAAAAGGTGAGACAATAATCTATAACCTACAATTTGCCGGCTCTTGTAGCAATAATCAAAGTCGATCAATAATCAATTAATTTATATAAAACAAATGAAAATTTATAAAATAATTATGAAAATAAATTTAGCAAATATTTGATCATTTTTGTAACAAATAAATTATAAAAAAAAAAAAATTGATGTGTAAAAATTTAAAATGAAATTTTTTGAAAATAATTTTTTAGAACAAATTTATTTGTTAAATAAAATTAAAAAATAGTCAAGAGACGGCTAACTTTTATGTCATAAAATTATTTTAAGCGTATAAATTAATAACTTTTTTTTATTTTTGTTTTCAGATTACGATTAGCACGTGTGCTTTTGATCGGAATGAATGGCTTCGTCGCCGAAGTTGCTAAAAACATAATCCTTGCTGGTGTCAAGTCAGTAACATTCCTAGATCATCGTAATGTTGACACCGGTGATTCATGCTCTCAATTTTTTGTTACTAGAAATGACATTGGTACAAACGTAAGTTCATTTAGTTTATTTGATATTTTTTGATTTTATTTATTTATTAAATTTTATCCTAGAGCAAATGCTCCCTAAGGACCATCATAATTAAATACATAATGAGAACATATGAAATTAATATAATATTAATTATAATATAGATATGATATTAATTAATAGAATATAATAGATTAATTATCGATAACATAACATAATAGGTAATTTATAACTTTAGTAAATTAATCATGATTGATAAATAAATTTTTTGACAGAGAGCAACAGCTTCAGTATCTAGAGCGCAAAATTTGAATCCAATGGTAAAAGTTTCAGCCGACGAGGATCATGTTGACAGTAAAAATGATGAATACTTCAAGGACTTTGACGTTATCTGTGCTTCTGAATGCACTATCACTCAGCTTAAAAAATTGAATGATATTTGCCGAAACTACGGCGTTAAGTTTTTCGCCGGCGATGTTTGGGGAACTTTTGGCTACACTTTCTCTGACTTGATCATCCATGAATATGTTATGTGAGTTTATTTTTATTTAATTAAAAAAATATTTTATAAGATTTAGTAAAATAATTTCACATGTAGAAATTAAAAAGCATTACAAGTAAGGATTTTTAAAAATAGTTCTTTTGTTACCATTGATTTTTTTATAAAAATTGAAAAAATTGTCAGATGTCAGCTGATTTCAGTATCTTAATTTTTTACTTATTATTATACAAAATTAGTATTATTCATTTAAATTTGAGTATTATTGAGTCAATTTACTAAGAACGTGCTGAATTTGCTTAATTAATTTTTATGTAAGGTAAAGGCACCAATTAGTGACAGGGATCCAATTATTGACACACTATTTTATTTTAAATCTTATTTAATTATCTACAATATTAATAACAATCGTTCATTTTCTTATACAATCACAATAATTTAGGATTAAAAAAAAAAATTAATAATCGAGAAAAATATATGATATTCATTAATTAAAATAATAAAGTTTACTCTAGTACTCTGAAACAACTCGATAGTGTAAAATATTTAAATTATTTTGGTTAAGTAAGCATTTAAATTAACAGCTGATTTTTAATTATTTTTTAAACTAATCAAAGTAAACATTTTTTTTTTTTTTTAAATAAATTAAGTATTAAAAATTAACAATATCAACGGATGATTGACTTTGTCGATTAAAATCAATTATTAATCTTGAGAAAGTATTATTAAGAAGCATTAATTTTGTTTCTCAAAAGATTAATTAATATTATGTAAAACAAAAAATTGGACAATCTTAATTTTAAATATGTTAAAAAAGGTAATCGGAAAAAATAGACCGGAAAAAATATTAAAGTTATGAAAAGTTCATATTATTTCATTAAAATTATTGTACAATAAAAATTATAATAATAATAATTGTATCACACCCACAATTTTCCTGAAAAACAAGCACCCCCAGAATGATCGCTCCATTTTTTGTTACAAAAAAAAAATATTATTATAATTTTTATTTTATAATAATTTTAATGAAATAATATGAATTTTTCATAACTTCAATATTTTTTCCAGGTCTATTTTTTCTGGCATTCATTAAAAAAAAATGAAATCCTAACCATATCTCTTATAGTGTCAATAATTGGTGCTTTTACCTTCATTATTAATTACTAATATAAATATTTTTTTTATGATTACAGGGAAGTAGTGCAAACAAAGAAAACCAAAGAATCTGGTTCAGACAAACCTAAAGTCGAAAGCACTACTGTCAACGTCAGAAACGAAGAAACATTTGTACCAATTCATAAAATTCTTGATGCTACACAACTGCCTAAAGATACTGAGACTTATTATTTATTCCAAGGTAAATTAATTTTTTATTTTCCATCAATATATTTATAATAAACACTGTTAATATTTCATTAATCAATTTATATTTTACAGTTTTGTTAAACTATCGTGAGAAACATCGCAGAGATCCGCTGCCAAATGAACGTGATTGCAATGTTTTGCTTTCCGAAGCGCGTGCTATCATTGAAAAGAATAATTTGGGAGATAAGATTAACTACTTACTTGAGTAAGTTGATTATTTAAAAAAAAAAATTATTAGTATTATTTGTTTTTAGTTACTTAAATATTTATTTTTAATTTCTTCTATTGCAGAGGTGATTTGTATGCACAAACAAGCCCCACGTGTGCCATAATCGGCGGAATAATGGGTCAAGAAATAATAAAGACTGTTTCCCAGAAAGAGCCTCCGCATAACAACTTGTTCCTGTTTAACCCTCACACAATGTGCGGCAAAGTTGTGCAGCTCGGCTATTAAGCATTATTTATTCGAAAGGTAAAATAAATAAAATAATCAGTATCGTACGAAATTCCGTTTGAAAATTCCAATAAAAAATAATTTCTTTTAAGTAAATAAAATTTTTTTTTTTCGTAATCCGTAAACACAAAGTTACATTCAATAATAATACTTTCAGAATCAATATCCCAGTAGTCCTTCCGGTTCTTTTAAATTTTCCAAAAATTACTTCGGCAGTCCTAGAATTTTTATTAAATTAATTCCGATCATCCTAAAAAATTTCCCATAAATATTCTTAGTACGACAACTATAATTTTTAAAATTAAAAAAAATCTCATTTTGTAAAATTTCTTTTTCCAAAATTTCATATAAAATTCCCGTGAATAAATGAAAATATATCCTGTGAATTCCCATGAATTTTTCATTATTTGTCTTTGATAAGTCAGCGTCAGATATAGTTGACAGAACAGTCAATACCTAAGTGTACACATGATAGCAGCGTAGTCATACAGTCTGGTAAATACATAAATAGTTAAACGGTAAGTAGTGTAGCTCAGCCGCAGACGTTGTTATTTTCCATGAGTCAGCCTACGGAATTTATTCATACCCCAGTGCGACCGTCACCCTAGACGTCTACCTTTGTCTACCGTCGCATACTCTTGTCTACTGGCTATAATCTTCTTCCCAGGCCCCAGGTACTCACCGCGTACTTAACTAGATCGATATTGACACGTAGGTGCTTCTGGAATGTGAAATGTGGGCAACTTTGTTATTACGCATTAATATTTAACTACCAGTATCGGGAATTTTTCTTATCGTATTAAGAATTTTATTTACTTCTTATTCATTTTATTCATCATGTCCAATCAAAAGCTTCAACTTCAAATAAAGTAAATTGTCATTATCATTAATTTATTTTTTAATAATGATGATTCGAATTCTAGATTTTATATTAGGTCAAAGAACTAATACTCGTCTGTCAACAAAATATAAGTTTATTGGACTTCTCTTTCAAATTTTTTATTAAATTACAAGTATCAAACCTAAAAAGAATGATTTTTTTTTAATAATTAAATTCCTATAATTTTATTAATTGCATGCAAACTTTTTAAATATAAATTTTCTCAAAAATAATCTTGCAGTAATAATTTTGCTTTAATATTAATATTTTTAATAAATTTTATATCAAATTTACTAAATTTTTTATTGTTGATTAATGAAATATCGACCATTTACTTATCAATTAAAAAATAACAAAGTACTACAAAAGAATAATGTCGACCATTAAGATCAAATAAAAGATAGTAAAGCGTGCTATATTATTTGTAAAAAATTTTAATTGCTTAAAAAATATTTTTTTCATATGAAGACAATAAATTGTCATTGAGTAATGACACTTTAATTAATTTTTTATGTTATTGTTAACTATATCAATAACAATGGACCCAAGTACTTTACAAACTATCATTATTGAGTAAAAAAATTAATTAAACGCGGGAATACCCGAATTATTTACTTCTGATAAGTAATTATAGCCATTATGCGCATTAAACTTCTTGAACTCTTAATTTTTAGAAAATTTAATTCAAAGTAAAGTCAAACAATTTTTATATTGTAAGTATTTGCAAATAAACAATCATCTATTCCGCCATAAAGGCAGTCTAGTCGAGCTCTTAGCTCCACGATTCGTGTTAATAATGTCATCTTTACGACCACAAAAATTAGATACGTGAGAAAACTTCTTACGCGTTGATTTCCATGTAAAAACTAAACAACTCCCATTTCGCGACACACGTTTCTCTTATCGGTTATCTTATCGCCTCATACACTCTCTTTAACTTTTATTAACTTTTTATTTGTCTTTGCATTACATTCCTTATAGAAATGTAAGCGAGTATTTTCAATTTGCACCAACCCGTATTAGAAATTTACTTTACTTCACACATCATTAACCATTAAGTTCAGTAAAAATATTAATTTCAAAATAAAAAAATAAAAAGAATCTGATTTTATTGAACGAGATCTAAAAAATAATCTATATTATTAAGAGAATAAGCGAAATTTTTGATATCTTTGGAAAGGTCTTGCTCCTTGACCTGGAATTGTGCCTTTTCAAGGTTTCATATTATTCTTACCAAAAATCAATTTATGATGATAAATATTGAGGCTGCATTCGAAAATGCTCTATCTCTAGATACATAGTTGAGAAAAGACCCTGTATCTTGTGAACTATTGACATTTTTAAAAATATAAGCTCACCCCGATGTTATACTCGTCAAGACCTTTCATTTGAGTACCCACATCAATTTTTCATATATTTTATATATTTATATATATGTATATATGAAAAATATATAAAAAATGCTTGTGGGTACTCAAATGAAAGCTCTTGATGAGTGTAACATCGAGATGAGCTTATATCTTTAAAAACGTCAATAGTTAAAAAAGTACAAGGTATTTTAACAAGTATCTTGTGAAATATTGACATTTTTAAAGATATAAGCTCATCCCGATGTTACAGTCATCGAGACCTTTCATTTGAGTACCCACATCAATTTTTCATATATTTTATATATTTATATATATTTATATATGAAAAATATATAAAAATGCATGTAGGTACTCAAATGAAAGCTCTTGATGAGTGTACCACCGGGATGAGCTTATATCTTTAAAAATGTCAATAGTTAAAAAAGTATAGTGCAATTTAACAAAAGTCATTATTTAATAAATCAAAATTTTATTTATTTATAGTTCACAAGTTACGACAGTCAGATAGTGACTGCAAGGTTGCTAGTAATTTTTATTTATATTATACCCATAAAAGTACAAAATAAAAAATAATATTTTTAAAGATAACAATGAACCAAGAAAAAATAAAATATTTCATAGTCCATGAATATATTTAAAGTTTGTGTAGGGAAAATGGTATTAACAAAATAAAATTTCGTTACTTTTCTTTACTATTGCCATTTATTTAGCTTTTTATATATTTTTGTGAATGTAAGGTGAATAGAAGTGGCTAAAGCTCTCGTAAAGTCATACATATATTGTATAGTAATAATAATAATAATATATAGATGTAATATAACTGAAGCGGAAGATGAAGTATTCATTTTGAAATGGTTAAGCACTTGCGGGTCATCTACTTAACTTGTATGCTTGTAAACTTGTATAAAAGGTAACTGTCTGTTTGGCTAGACAGATCGAGTGGCTGACCTCATGAAATCGGCCCTTTTGTTTAGTACCATGTGGTGGGTTAATAAAAAACCCTTATGATGTACTTGATATAATTGTCTGAGTCATGCTTCTCAATCATTATTTATTTTATTTTCATCCTTTCTATTATTTTATTACCTATATTGTTTGTACAAAATCTCTCCGTTTATTTTCCGGGGTTTAAAACACGGATTTTATTGCCGAAATAATTATTTTTAACCGTGGATTTAATTTTAGTTCGAGTTAAGATTTTTTGGTTAATTAAAATTCACATGAATGAAATAAAAATAAATAAAGTAGTAAAAAGTAAAATGGGAGGATGTTTAGCCGCTGAAAGACATGGAGATGTTTTAATGTGGCGTCCAGGAGGACCTTTGTCAATTAAGACATGCCCTACGGCGCAATTAATGCCGAACAACCGTCCCGAGCTGTGTAAACGAGATGTGGAAATGGCATTCGGGTCTTGAGTTCTCTTTCTCCTTTATGTTACTTCTGTATTAATGGCTCGTGACGGACCGAATAGACTTGTCGGTCCTAGAATGCCTCCTGGATTACTAAATAAAATAAAAGTATCTGATTATTAAATGGATTAGACGGATAAATATTCAAGACGTTAAGGGATAATTGTAACTGTTACGCGAGGATTTAATTAATTTCCGAGATTAAAATTTAATTGGAGCTTCTCTTTCAGTCTTGGGTTGAATTGGATGATTATACTTTTTGGAGATTCTATAAATGTTTAATTGTTTTTAATGCGCAATCAGTAAATATCATTAATATAATTAAGATAATATAAAGAAAATTTTGTTTCTTGCGTATTTATATGATAAAATCAATTGCACGCCTCCGTGCATAAGCAAAGCGTTGAGGTAGTGCTCTACTCTCAAAATTTCAAAAAAAGCAGTTTTCTTGAAACTGAAATTGATTTTTTTTTTTATTATATCGCACTCACAGGTTAATCTGAGTGTACTAATATCAAGTCAAATAATTTGTCAGGCACATAAAATATATTTCAATAACAATTACTTTGTTTAACATAGTAAATAATAACATTAAAAATAATTTTTTCTGGACGTCCGTGTGTCTGTGTTTGGTTGAAAAAATGATCGTACCGAAATAATTTTTTTTTTTTATCATCTAAAGTAACACTTGACGGATTTTCTCAATTAATATGAACGTTCAATTCACTGTCGTTAAATTATTATTTATAAAAAACTAATAAATGACTGTGTATTTTTTTGTTCATCTATCTATACATTTTATTGTAGTATTTTTTTTTCTTCACCTTATAATTATGGCGCCACTAAACCATAGCAAAGTTTTCTATTTTTTTTATTTTATTTTAATCAATTTTATTGTGAAAAATGAGATTTTGAGGCGTGCCTTTTTGGATTTTCCAAATTTTTTTTTTCAATTAAATTAGTATCATTAAAAAATCATGATCTGAATTTAAATCAATATTTAAAATTTTCTTCTCTTTTATCAAATTTTTCAGTCTATTGACTCTAATTTTTAAAACAAAATCATTATTCTTCAAAAATTTCATCAGTAAAAAAAATTTATAGGACCAAAAATGAATCAAGTATAAAATCTAGCTTAGTATTTTCCGTATCTCACTGTAACCGGAAGTACATAGATCATAAATTACAGCGTTGTAGTGTACAGTATTTTAGGGATAATATTTCATAGCTTTTGTTCGATTTCGAAAGCATTATTTTAGTTTTCTCAACTCTAGTACAAATTTTGTTCCTGTTTTTTTGCTATTTTATTATTTTTTTCCGTATATAAGTTACAATAAATAA